TAGAGTTTTCATTTACCTCAGGGTAAAAAAAGAAGGTACTTACACACTGGAGTCAGTTCATACATAAAAGGGTTACCCTATTCTCTCCAAGCTCTCCAGCCCTCCCCTGCAATAGGGGAACAGTCCTGAAGCATCTCTCCAAATTATTGTCTTCATGCTTTCATTTGGATTGTACCAAGCCCTCATTAATCTGAACAGAAGTGAACACACTCTACAGTAAAGAGAATAATATGCTTAGGTGGGTAGCAGCGGAAGACTGAGAATGATGCTACCATCTTGGAAAGGAGCTAGGATCTAATTAAAAAAAAAAAAAACAAAAAAAAAAACAATATCAACCTTCAAGATATTCCTGAGCAGTGATAGAAAGGAAGAGAGGATTGGAGTATGGCAGATGAAAAATAAAAGGCCATTTTGTGCATGGAGAGGACTGAGGCAACATTTCAAAGAAAAAAATAGACTGCTCATACAGTACACTGGCCCATCTATAATAATAAAAGCATAATATGCGAATCGACCAAATGAATGAACAGCAGAACGACCATCCGGACGACCTTCTGGACGACCACGCTATGACACCCACTGGCGCCAGAACAGCCAAGGTGGATGCAATGCGATTGGTCAGGGGCCAGGCCATCGCCCCATGATCGCCCTGCAGAGGGAGGTCCAGGCCACAGGCTGGCAGCGCTATCGATCAATCAGGGTGCTCCATGATCGCCCCAAAGAGGGAGTCTCAAGCCACTGACCTGCAGGCTTCAGTGGGTGGGCGGGGCCTCCCTCTGTGGGAGTGCAATTAATTGCAGGATTGCCCTGCAGAGGGAGGCTCAGGCCACCAGCCAGTGGGGTGATCAATCAATAAGGAGGCTTCACAATCGCCCCAGAGAGGGAGGCCCAGGCCACTGATTAGCAAGCTGTGGCGGGTGGGTGGGGCTCACTCTGTGAAGGCGAGATCAATCACATGATTGCCCCACAGAGGGAAGCCCAGGCCACTGACTGGTGGGCTGTGGTGGATGGATGGGGCCTCCCTCTGTGGGCTGCAATTGATGGTCCCAAAGAGGGAGGCCCAGGCTACCCCACACTGGTGCTGGGGTGGGTGGGCGGGGACTCCCTCTATGGGGGCAATCCATCACGAAGCCCTGGGCAGATGAGCAGGGCCTACCTCTTTGGGGCAATCAATTGTGGGGCTCCTGGACTGTGAGAAGGCACAGGTTGGGCTGAGGGACACACATACCCCCCCACCCCCCGCCCCCAGTGCATAAATTTCATGCATCAGGCCTCTAGTTTCAAAATATTATCAGAGAGAAACTTGAGAATATCATCAACCTGGAAAAATGTTTATTCCACATTTGTCTGAATTTGGTTTTGCATCCATCAATTTCTAAACCAATATCTATTCTGGCACAAACTGAACTCTTGTTTATTTAGGACTATCATCACAATACTACTTGAGGAGTGCCAGGTAGTATTTAGGAATACTTTTAAAAAGCCATCTAAAGCTCTTTCTCTTAAAAAAGCCAGAAGCCACAAATTCTCCAAATATGTTTGTGTACCACTGGTTTGGAAATCACCGAAATTATACAAATTGTGTCTAGTGTTCAGTGTTTATAAACAGTGTTTATTCCAGAAATGGGTCCTGAACAATTGATTACATTAATGCTACTTTTGAGAAATTGCCCCAGGATAAATTCACATTGGCTATATTCAAACACTGCCAAGCCTATGGTCCATTACCTTACCTTTTGTCTCAATGACATTGATGCACTTTCTAACAAACTTGAAGCCCACTTCATTCAGCTCCACTGTTTCAAGCAAAGGAAAGCAGAGTTAGATGTTGATGTACACAAGCTTCACCTACCAAGCATTCAGTTATCATGCTAAGAGACTGCAGAGAGAGAACTAGGGGTTTGGTTGGTCATATCCAATCACCCTTAACTGGAAAGGTCCTTTGCATGGGTGGGGGGGTTAGAGTTTTTACTCTTTATAACACAAAATGCTTTTACTTAGCCCTCTGCATTATGTCTGCTTTAGGCATGAACAACAACAAATGTGAAATGTTATACTGGAAATGCACACAATTTCTCTATGTGTCTAGAACAAGAAGGATATAATGTGTTTCTTTATATCACTACTGCTCTTCCCACCATAAATAAGATAAAGTGACTTCCTCAATGGACACTTTTTTTTTTCAAAATAGGTATGAATATCATTCCACACAGTGGCATCCATAAACATACACACTTGCATCAATATTACATATCATTGGCGACAACATTTATTATGAATAAGACAGCTTGCAGTTTATAACATCAGTAGATCAGAAATTTGACTCACTTTCTTCCTGTTTTGTTATGGGGCTGTGGTAGATCTACAAAAGAAGAGAAACAGAAAGATCCATGGCTATTGTGAATCACTATAGGCAAATAAAATTCAATCAAAACCATTAACAACTCTAACAAGAAGGAAAAGTGGGCTAAACAGAATCATCTTTGTCTAGATCTTTAGGAAACAGCTGAAATAATCCCTGAAGATTACATTGGATTTCACACTGCACACTGCAACTAAAGTTATGGCCCTCTTAGACATTTACTTAGGTAAAGCTTGGAGGGTTTTTCCAATGGAGTAAGAGAGCATAAGAGAAAGGAAGTGGATTTCTCATGCATACCTGGATAATGGGCATGTGATGGTAAAATGTAAACATTCCCAATACCAACCTCTCTGTCCCCCAAGACTGGTTAATAGGTGTTTCCTTTGGAAAGACAAGCGTCCAACTGAAAGAGATCCATGAACTGACCAAGATTTTTCTGCATCATCTTGAAGTATACATTTTAATAGCTATAAAAAGACCAAAGTCTAGCCCTGGTTCTGTTTCTTCCTCATTATGAAATCTAGGGCATGTTCTTTTCATTCTCTAGACTTCAAAATTCACATATCTAAAATGATCAGAATTGGAGATGTTCCTTCAAGCCTACCGGCCATATAGGCCCCACAAAATCATTTGGTCTGGCCCTGCCAAGACATTAAGGGTGAGTTAATTAAATGTTTGGCCAAATATTACAGGCTAATAGTTGACAAGATAATTTTGTATGGCCCCTGAATGATGTTATAAATATCCAATGGCCCTTGGCAGAAAAAAAGGTTCCCCATCCCTGCTTTAGAGCCAGAGGCTTCCAGGCACCCTACCTGCCTGGTCTCTATCCATCATCCATCCCGAAACTGATTTGGGAGCTAATTGTCCCTCTGCTATCGAGTTTGGGTGGCAGTGTGGGGTTTTTGGTCTC